GAGTTATAAATGACCAGTCTCAGGAAAAAGGTAAAGAAAGCATGGATATTCTAAGATAAACCAAATTAAGATGTGAAGGGAAAAAAATCAAGAAAAAAGAATACAATTAATGAGAAGAAACAAAGAGATGGGGTCATGTCCACTGAAAACTGTTACAGTAGTGTTTTGGTGATCAGTGCTTTATTTATTATAAAAGGACAAAGGAAATTCCATGTATCTTTATAAATCCTTAGTGCTTCTCACATTTATCCAAAGGACACTAGATACCAGAGAACAATCGCATTCTCTAGATGTCTATTTGAATTTGAAACATTTTTAAAATTCATGTAAATTTCAACTTTTCTTCCACAGTGTATCTATTCATTTAGTATTTTTTAAATGTTTTAAATTACTTACCATGAGGTTCGAATTGTGCCACAGGAGTGTGCATCATTTATTTGGCTCGAGAATCAAAATCTCCCGGGCACTGTAGAGGCCCCTCACACCCTCATCCAGGCCCCACCACCCCAGCACTCCTGAGTCTAACAGCAAACACCTGTTCTGCCTGCTTCTGAACTCCGTAAAAATGGAATCCTGGGGTATTCACTTTTTGTACCTCACATCTTTAATTTAACATTATGTTTCAAAGATTCATTCATGCTTTGTGTGTGGTCTAATTTATTTACTCTCATTGCTGTAGAGCGGGGGTCCCCAGCAAATCCAGCCTGCAGACGATTTTTATAAACAGTTTTACAGGTAAATACATGCTCCTGTTCCTGTACACACTGCCTACGGCTGTCTTCACAGCACCTCAGCAGAGTTGGGTAGTTGTGACAGAGACCATACCGCCTGCATTAACCTAATACATTTACTATCTAACTGGACCTTCACAGAAAGTGCGCCTAACCCCACAAGTTAGAGATCTCAAAGTCTGGTTCCTGATTTGGCATCACCTGTGAACTTATTAGAAATGTAAATTGTTACCACGTTGAGTAGTTGGGCTGTAAAAAAAAAAAAAAAAAAAGAATGTAAATTCTAAGCAGATTTCTCCAACTTTAGGTTGTATCCACACCACCTGAAGGGCTTGACCGGACAGAGTGCCGGCCCCGCCTCCAGAGCTTCTGAGTCAGCAGGTCTGGGTGGGGCCTGATAATTTGCATTTCTAACAAGTTCCCAGGTGATGCTGCCGCTGCTGCTGGTTCACGACCAGTTTAGGCCTGCTACTCAAGTGGTGTGCTCCCATTCTATCATACAAAAGCATCACCTGGGGATCAGGTTAAACTGCAGATTCTGCTTCTGTGTGCTATCTGGGCTGGGGCCTACGCTTCTGCATTTCTGACAGGTTCTCAGGTGTTGCAGATGCAGGTGATCTACGGACCACTTTGGGAAACAAACCAGTACAGCAGCAGTCCCCAACCTTTTTGGCACCAGAGACCGGTTTCACGGAAGACAATTTTTCCACGGACAGGGGAGGAGAGCATGGAGCTCAGGTGCTGATGCACGGCCCATTTCTTAACAGGCCAGGGACTGCACAGGGCCACAGCCCAGGGTTTGGGGACCTCAGCTGGAGAGGATTACACTGAATGAACATATCACGTGGGCCGGGCGCGGTGGCTCACACCTGTAATCCTAGCACTCTGGGAGGCCGAGGCGGGCGGATTGTTTGAGCTCAGGAGTTCGAGACCAGCCTGAGCAAGAGCGAGACCCCGTCTCTACTAAAAATAGAAAGAAATTAATTGGACAACTGAAAATATATAGAAAAAATTAGCCGGGCATGGTGGCGCATGCCTGTGGTCCCAGCTACTCGGGAGGCTGAGGCAGGAGGATCGCTTGAGCCCAGGAGTTTGAGGTTGCCGTGAGCTAGGTTGACGCCACGGCACTCACTCTAGCCCAGGCAAAAGAGTGAGACTCTGTCTCAAAAAAAAAAAAAAAAAAAAAATTAGCCAGGCATCCTGGCACATACTTATAGTCGCAGCTACTCAGGAGGCTAAGGCAGGAGGATTGCTTGAGTCTAGGAGTTTGACGTTGTTGTGAGTTAGGCTGACACCACAGCACTCTAGCTGGGGCCACAGAGGGAGACTCTGTCTCCAAAAAAAAAATATGTGTTGAGAGGCTGCCTACACCTGCTGAAAGCATAGAAAAGTAAAAGTTACCAGCCTAACAGCAAGAGACAGAAACACAGGGGGAAGGGGGAAAAACACACACACACACACACACACACACAAAACTGGAAACTAATTTGAAGAACTCAAAAACCAGGGCAGTCTGAAAGTATTTAAAGGAAAGCAAGAAGCTCACCAGGTCTTAATGGCTTCATTAACGTTACAGCACAACACAATACTTAATCTTCGTGATGTGAAATCTTTGTTTGGAAGTAAATTATGTGCCTTAGTTTGTTAAAGAAGTTGTGATCCAAAAGCTGTGGTTCTTTAAAGGGATAACCCTCAATTCTTTAGAAAATTGAATTATATGGAATACTCTATTTCTCCTAGACAAAGAAAGGAGATTTTACTCCAGTTTATGCCAAATCGTTTTATGTCTTATTAGTATTATCAATGTTTGTAGATTAATATGAGACTATTTTAACTGATACATAGCAACACAGAAAACTCCCAACACTTCTTTACACCTTGTTTAAAAGTAACAAGTTTCTAGCACTAAAAGTACTTGCCTTTAAGTTCTTAAATCCCAGGTGCTAAATATTCATAAACTAAAATTTATGAAAATTAACTCCAGATCCTCAAAGTTAATTCTAATTTGAAGGTTAACTTTGGTTTTCTCTTTATTTAATTTTCAACCATCTAAGTCCTGGTTTCGCTACAAATGAGGATATAAGATTTCTCATTATCAAAATCATCTTGTCATCACTACTCTCAATGACAGTAACAATGTGATTGCCCTTAATTGATATACTTCTCAAAGAACATGTCACAAAACAATCTTAGGAAAGCTCATAAGGATTGAAGTTTTCATAGCTACAACGTGACAGCAGAAACCGCCCTGATTTCTAGTTAAGCGTGCATCTACCACTCATAAAAAAGTTCACAATCCAAATGAAAATTTAAACAAAATGTGTTATCTTAATTGTTATACAATAACACTGTGCCATCTTTGATACAAAGTGATGCTTCTGGACTGGCCATGTGAAAACCTGCAAGAGGATGGATTTGCACTCACTTGTCTATGCTCAACTGACCTTAATCATGAGCAAATCTGAAAGACCAGCAATAACCATAGAAAAGCAGTGGAACTAACTGGCTCTTCCAACATGCTGGCAGCAACAGTACCCATTCCAATGGGCAAAATCCACCACAAACTACTACGCTCAGCTTGGAATCCCAATTAGGCACTTTAAAAACAAAAAACAAACAAACAAAAAAACCTGCAGTGGATAGGGCATATTCATTTAGGCATCCAACCGTCTTCCAATGCACCATTAAAAAAAATTC